GTACCAATCCAGTGAAATGGCAAGCATACCTTTTGACATAGAAGAGACAATTATGAAATGTATTTAAATGAAATATCTTCTCAAGAAAAAGGTACAAGATTACATTAAAATTTTTTCAAAGCTCTTTGTGCCAAACTTCAATTATACTATAGCCTGTGGATGGTGGTCCAGGATGCTATGAATCCCAGTTTGTGGTGACTGTGGTCAGCAGTGTGTCCAATTCTGTTACTAATTTAGCACATCTGACAGCCAAATATTGGCAGTTTTGTGTGGTTAAAACTAAAAAAAGTGACAGTGCTCTTGTCTGCCTTCTTTTTTTCTGTTGAGGTTCACTCTCTTCTGTTATAACTTCTTGTGTTGGAATTGGACTTTTGGTTGTTAAATATTCTTGCATTTTAAAAAGTGTTTCCAAATAAGTTGAAAAATCTTCCTCGTTATTTTATTTATTTATTTTTATTATCTTATTAGTTATTCCTTGGTTTTGTGTTTTGCCTTGCTGGGGATTTCACCTAGGGCCTTGTGCATGCTAGGAAAGCAAGCACCATTCCACTGAGCTGCTCGCCTTCTTTGTTTAGGACTCTTGTGAGGAGTCCTGCTGAGTTGCATATAGTTGGCTGAATACTTGCTCTTTTCTTGCAAATACTTATTTTCCCAAGACCTTCCTTGGGCTGGGTCCATACACAGCCATGCTGGCCTAAGCTCACAGGTCAGCCCACAGGGTAACTGAGTGACCCTTGAAATAAACGCCATACTCAGTGGAAAAGCTGAGGCACCACATATATAATGTGCCCTTTCATACCATCTTCTTTCAGTCTTTGAACTACTAGCTATTACCCTAAGGCGGGCAGTGATTAAATAGCAGTATCAGTCTTGCAAGGGTTCAGTCGCAGGAGCTGAAATGGAACTGTGAGCTGGTCGGACCGACCGAGTCAGATACTTGGGTGGAAATTCCGAGTTTACTGGCTACTGCACATGAGGTAGGACATACACTCCAAACGTTTCCACAAATGCAAACTGGGATACTGTTGTATCTACCTGAGGCAGTTCTCATGAAGCTTCTGTATAGAAGACAGAACAACATAACCTGCAATCACTTGTAAATGGCAGAGCTCATTTTGGCTTTCTCCTAATATAGTTTTGTTTGTTTGTTTGTTTGGGAGACTGGGTCTGTGTAGTTGAGACTGACCTGGAACTCACTATGTAGCCCAGGATGGTCTTGAACTCACAGCGATCAACCTGCCTCAGCCTCCCAAATGCTGGGATTGCAGGTGTGCTCCACCACCCCGACTCTTAGTCTTCCTGTTTCTTAGCTTTACTTGACTATTGGTGGCATTGGGATTTATAAAGTAAAGCTTGTTGGTTTTGTTTTGTTTTGTTATACTTTGTTTTTTTCAGATAGAAGAGTCAACTGTATTGATCAGGAATGTTTCCTGCCACAAAGGACAGAGATTTTGATTCCCCGTGTCTTTAAATCAGTAGGAATTTTAAAAAACCCATTATCTGGGGGTAGACGTCTCACATGTAGTATTGGTCCAGGATCTCGGCCTTATCTGTGCTAGGCCTCTGTGCTCCTCTTGGACTTTTCGGCATGATTCCCCCACTGAGGGAAGGAACAAGGGGGAGGTGAGAGCCTTGGCCACACCATTCATCGGGAGGTCAAAGCTGCAGCAGAAGCCTGTCCTGGTGACTCACTGGTTAGATGGGTGTCATTTACTGTGCCGGCTCCTGGGAAGTCAGCTGAGTGGCACGACTTTTCTGCCTTTTCCGTGAAAGCGATGTGCAGAAGGCTGCTGGCTGGCATCTGTCACCACCGTTTGTCACGCTGAGTCTTAGAAGTTTTTCTCTGAATTATGAAGTGGTGGAAAAATGTCTTGAGATTGCAAGTAAATTTACCTTGAAGCAGAAAAGCATTCATGTGGTCCCACATAGAACTTCGTAGGTGGATGACCTCCCCACCGTCCCCTTCAAGTAGATACCTGTCCGCAACTTAGAGCCCCGGAAATACTTCCCACTCCTGCTCAAATCACTTATTTCTTTCCTTCTTCTTTTTTTTTTTTCTTTCTCGTGAAGAACCTCCCAAGAATTCTCTAAAGAACTCAGTTCCAAGCCACAAAACTGGGCTGAGCTTGATGGGTATTTGTGGGCCAGAGGAAGGGGAACACTGGGCACTGGAGTGAGTTAGGGGCAGGAGGCAGCTCAGGGATCCTGACTAGGGCTCCAAGGCAGCGTGCTGCTGTCCCAGGATTAGTGAGGCCCCGGGGATCAGGGAAGAGAAGCACAAGGAAAGTCAACATTCACCACTGTCCCCAATACTTCCCTGTACAAAGAAAAACAAGAGGAAACTCACTTGTACGCTGTTCCTACTTACTGCATTGACTTGATAGAAATACACAGGCAAGCTTTAGGATATCTACTAATGTTAGGATATCTACTAATGTTAGGATATCTACTAATGTGTACCTGCAATCTCTCCCCTCTCTTCACCATGCCAATAAATTGTTTTGTTTCTTGTTTTCACGGATTCCAGGCTTTTTGGATGCATGCATGGTTTTGACATTGCTTCAATAATAATCACAATATGATTTTACATTCTGCCTTTTATTTTTGTCCTTTGAACATTGAGATTGATTGATTCCTAGGGAGGTCCTTGAACAGCCAGGGCGTTTACCCTGAGACCTCCATTCCACTCTCCTGCTGTTTCTGATGCAGGATGAACTTATTAGTTTATATAAAGGGCATTTGTTAAAGTGACAGGAGAGTAACCCAATTGCTTTTAGATCTCTCTCTTTTTTGAATTGAATAGTTAAAACTTGTTTTATTGTATAATCTCTGACCTTTGTTTTTTGGCATTTTATTTATCTCACACAAATGTAGTCTCGCTGTTTATTTAGAGATCATGACCACCGCTCTCTCTCTCCCACTCTACCGTTTTACTTTGGGCACAATCATGTGCTGCCTGTAGCTGAGCAGAATTGCGTTAATCAAATTGTGTGTCTGTGTCTGCCATCTCAGGTTTGAAAACCCCGTGTTTTCCTATCAGGTGATCCTGTCGCACAAAAGTGAATTACTTTGGACAGGGCTCAAACCCTTGGTGGGTGTGTGAGTATTTAATGCCTATACAAAATCTTCTAATACCTTTATCATTTCCTCTAATGCATGGGTTTACAAAAGTCTGTAGGGACCTGGTATTTATTAAAGATGGAAATTGGCAGGAACAGACAGTAATAAAATATATTAATGTAGGATATATTTTAGGAAATCCATTTTGAATATATTTTAAAATGTACACACGTGCACACACACACACACACACACACACACTTGAGCTTCTATCCTGAAAGTGCTGTTATTCCCTGTGATATATACACATTGTATTTTCTGAGAGTGATTTTATTATAACTTCATGAAATAAACTGTGCTTACTTTTTAGAGTACTTGCTTTATGGTTTTTTGATACTTCAGTTGCTTATGCATGACTTAGCTTTTTCATTGCAAATGCATCAAGGCTTATAATACCTTAAATTCTGTTATGTGCAGCTGTTTTTGTCCTCTGCATTAAGTTGATATATTTAATGGGGAAAAGAAAACTTGTTTAGGAGAATGTAGCTATTATTATGTTTAATTCATTGCAGTGGCAATCTTGCTTGTGTGTTCCCAGTACTAAGGAGTCATTTTAATAACTCAGTGTCTTTTATTTTTTCTTTACACAAAATAAATCTTTGTTTTTGTTTGTTTGTTTTTTTTGTACCGGGGATTGAACTCGGGTCCCTGTACTTGTGAGGCAGGCGGCAGAACCACTGAGCTAAATCTCCAGCCCTATACAAAATATCTTAAAGTCCATTCCTCCCCTCATCTTTATTTGTTTGTTGAATATTGGAGAATTCCTCATAAAGGTTCATAGAAGATAACATTGCGCCTATTATTAATGAATTGTGTTTAGCTTTGATGGTGCTTAGCCGTCCGGGTTGTAAGTAAGTGTGAATAGTAAGGAGCTCTGTTCACACTTCCATGGATGGCATGCAGAAAGCCAGGCTGTGCACAAGGTGAACCCCACGCGTGGGCAGGCTCTCTTGGGAAGTGAATCTCATGATGAGGATCATGGTTCTTCCAGTGCCTCTCTTGTTTGCTTTCCTCAGTTTAGTTGTAAAGTTACTTTGGTCTCAGTGGGCACAACAGTATCCAGGATAGAGATGGTCTTGATTTTGAAATCTTTGCTTTCTGTGTCCTTTCAGTGGGATGATTTGGAAGTTGTAAAGTACTTCTGCCTCAGGCCACCCCTTCCTTGCCCAACACTCACTCCTTTTAGCGGTTGCTTGAGGAAACAAAACCTTGACTGGGGCTTTAATCTTTAAGATGTTTCAGCAGATGATCAAAGTTAAGGGAAAACCATATCTATTCACTCTCTTGACGCAGATGTCATCATAGCCACTAATGGCACAACCAGACCGATTTCTGTGGTTGGTTTTGGTTTCATCCTTGGAAATGCCAACCCATAGCATTGTGTGGACAAGTGCTGGGGGCAGAGTGTGGACCGTCGGCGGGCAGAAGGAGTCCGCATTCCATCTGATGGGGTAGTCAATTGAGGAGTTATCCCAGGTGAGATCCCAGACAGTCTTCAAAGTCATAGGTTAGAAAAGACAGTTTGGAATTTGGGGACTATCTTCTGGCTGCCTTCTACCATCTCTGCTGTCATTCACACATATCTGTGGTAGGACATCGGTCTCTCCACACTTTCAAGGTAATAAGGCGGTTTGAAGTCCGTATTGAGACGTCTTGCATAACCATTCACCAGAGTGAATTTTGATACTCAGCCTCAAGCTCCACAAATGTTTACCTCAGTTCTTTCTGCAGACACTCAAGTTTGAGGGCTCTCATAATCATTATTATATTTTCTTCAGCAAATAAAGTTATGTCCACCTGGACATAACCATGCCATGCCAGTTTAGCTTTTAGAAAATAGTTGCTCTATGCAGAGCTTACAAGTGCGCTGTGTTCACACAATGAAGAGTTCTCAGCTGAGATTCTCAGACCTGGTGTGGTTCCAGCGTAGTGTTCTCAATTACAAGCTACCAGTATAGACTGTGTTCTGATGCCATCTTCATTTTGCAGGAACCGACAATGGCGAAGCTCTTCCTGAATCCATCCCCTCAGCTCCCGGGACACTGCCTCATTTCGTAGAGGAGCCAGATGATGCTTACATCATCAAGAGCAACCCCATTGCACTCAGGTGCAAAGCGAGGCCAGCCATGCAGATATTCTTCAAATGCAACGGCGAGTGGGTCCACCAGAATGAGCACGTCTCTGAGGAGAGTCTAGATGAGAGCTCAGGTAAGAGTGTGGTGCTTCAGGAGACGCCCTGGGAGCGCCCCAGAGACTCAACTTGTTACAAGTCTGGAAACGACTGGAGACCACCTCATTTGAATGAGGTTGTATTTATATCATTCCAGACATAAAAATTTCAGTCTTCTCTTTAAATGACTCTACATCTCCCTTAGCGGTGTGTTCCAATATGGAAGGCATTTTCCTTACTGCATATAACTTTAAGCACTTACCATTTTGTGTAAGTTAATATTCTCACTGGAAATAAAGCCAGCATTTACTGTTTTCATTTGTAGAATTTTAAATATTTTTGAGACAAATATTAAATCTTTTTATCAAGCATTATTTTAGGTGCCATATTTCAATTCCTTTAAGTTTTAGTCCTAGATCTTATTCTTTTATACTTTATTCTTTACAGCTTGTGCTGTCTTGGGTCCTGGGAAGCTTTTTTTGATGACTGTGTGGTGAAGGTCCCAAAGTAAATCACTGTTCTGGCAGGATCTCCAATATGAAAGGATTTCAGGGCTGTCTTTATAAGTTTGGATAGTTAATGGATAAGTCATGATGATGAGAATTACGATCATGCTAGCTAATGATTACTGAGTACTCACAATACACTTGGGATCATGATGCAGGATCATTCAACTTGAAACCTTTACAAATGTATAATTTTTTTATATTTTAGTGTATGACAAAGTGTTTTATGCTTTAAAATTTCCAATCGGATCCAGTTTGGTCTTAGCCTAGATTATTGATTTTATTAACTCTGATTTGGCCAGTTTACTACAGATTAGATATTCAGTCAGGAAGCCTCAGTATAATTAGTAACAGTGCATCAGTGATGTGCATAGCAGTGAAATCCGATGTACTAAGTCTGACCTTTCTGAGTATTTAGAGATAGGCAAGTGGGTGGGCTTCACAGCCACAGAAAAGAATAAGACAAACACACCAACAAGTACAGCACTGATGAAGTTAGAGAAAATGCCCAAAGAGAGGCTTATGATGCTAGAGGATTAGTAGAAAAGCTCACATCTAAGGGCTTTCAGGAAGATGTTATACAAGCGATGATGTTTGAAAAGGGTATTGATAAATATGGAATCCAAGTATACAGAGAGGATGTTACCCTCTAGGGAATGAGAGGAGCACCGATGGCCTTAAATTTATGGATATTAATGAATAAAAAAGCCTAATATTTGCCAGGCAAAACATTTGGTTTGGTTGAAATATAAAATGAATGTAGGGGAGCAACAATTTAGAGAAAGAAAACTTAATCAAAGGCATGGACGTCCTCTAATGCAAGAGTGAGAAGCGTTACTAATTTTTGTGGATGTTTCGGTGGTGGGAACTGGTGTGTAAGTACCGTGGCCGGAGCTTCATCTCGAAGCTTGGGTCTGACAGGAAAGATTGGCACGGAATGAAGAAGCAGAGTGGGAAGTGAGACCTGGATAACTCTGGTAAAAGGAAAGGAAGCTTGGTTCTGCGGTAATGGTCACAAAACACAAGAACTAGAAGTCTGGTGTAAGAACTTCAATAAATATCAACACAGGCCTAGTTAATATCATAGGACTGATTGAATAAATATGGAAAAATAAAAATTAACCTCTTACTAAAAGGCAAATGCAATTAGTATAAGTAATTATATTCACAAGGCAAAAAAAAAAAAAAATCTGTGACTGTTTTGCCAGGCTGAGTTTAAATTGCTTATGGGATCTAATAAAAAGATACAGATCAGGATGCAGAATCTGGGGACAGAAGTGTATCTGGTGATCAGTAATGAATTAAGCAGTGGAGATGGGAAAGTGGTCCAGAGAGAAGAGAGAAGGGACAGCAGAACCAGGGAGAGCACTTGGAGACTCATCTCTTCAGGAGCAAAGAAGGATGTGTTCTGGGGTGGGAGTGGGGATCCACATTTGACAAAGCAAATAGCCGAGTTACAAAGCCATAGGGAGATTAGTTCAAAAAGATCTCCACGTGAATACTTCATCTCTAGCTCAATAAAGAAAATATAGAGAACTAAGCATTACATATAGGAATTAGTAATAATCATTATGTAGTTCTCAACTAACTTAAGATTGCCTTGGAAATCCAAAACTTTGAAAGGTAAATGCCCCAAATCTCTATCATAATTCCCTATTTACTCGAGTTTGGAATGACAGTTGTACGAGGCAGAAAAAAGGGTAGCCTGTCTTACAAATTTTGTTGAGGACACAACCGTATAATCATGGAATGGAATGTGGGTACTGAAACAGATTTTAATGAAAATCTACTAGCCCTGTTTTATATATAGAAAATCTTGGAATCCAAGAGGTACAACTAGTTCAAAGCATAACTGTTTCTAGAAACCAGATTTTCTTATGTTGATTCAGGTGCATTCTTCTACACTACAAGCCATTTTTCTCTACATATTCAAATGGTCTCCTTCCCCATGAAAAGGTCCACAAGTTCCTTGCTAACACGGGGATGGATTTCTGCATACAGGTCATCATTTTCCATTATGTATCTATTTAGGATTTAAGTTTCCTAAGGATATATTTCTACACACACTCCAGTTGTTCTTCTTTATGTCTGGCTGTTCCTGCCGTCTTTGTAAAGCCAGTTTCTTATTCCATGTCATTTCTTGCACCACTAGGTGAGCATTTATAACATTTAAAGATCTAGAGACATTCCCAGGATGCAGTTATACTTTTGTTCTAGAAGGAAGGGTTATTCTTGAAAGAAAGGAAAATAAAAAGTACAAATCAAATCTTGCTGTCAGGTTTCTAATTTTGTGCTACCAAGGCTGAGCTGTAGGGGAGACATAAGTACATCCATTTGCTGTTGGGAGAGGTTAAGTAAGAGACCATAACAGTCTCACTTATCTTGGTATGAACAGTTCAGAGGAGGACTCTGAAAACAGAGACCAGCATCCTACCATACAAGCGATAGCGTGAAAAACAATGTCAGAATATTAAAAGTTGATTTATTTTATACTCAGCCTAGCTAGAAAAGACTCAGGTTCCAGTTGTGGCTTTATGAATTTATTCTCAGGTGGCTGTGTCCTAGATTTCGCCCAGTCATGAACTCAAAATAGCAGAAACCCATTGGGTGAACTGTTCTAAATAAAAAGAACTTTGAGAAATCATCAGCCAATTTTATAATGCTGCTAGAAAATCTTATTATATCTGTTCTAATTTAAAGGCCTCTTGATAACTATTACAATCCAATTTAACAGTACACTCTCTTGTAATTTCACAACATTCTGTTTTGTTATTATTTCCCCCTTTAAATTCCCCTAGCATTGCTAGGCAACTCCCTGTCTTACAGAGAGCACTGTTGATTACATTCTTTACTTCAAGTAAAAAATCTTCCTTTCTCCATTTAAAAAAAAAATGAAGCAAATAAAAGTTACATATTTCAGAGGATCTGGGAAAAATCCATAAATGATAAAATCATAAGAGATTATATACCAGGTTTTTAAAATGATGTTGAGAAAATAATTTAAATTTTAATGGTTACCTTTATGAAAAGAATTTAATAAGCACAACCTTTTCTTCCAAGTAATTTTGATTGAATCAATAAGAAAAAAATGTCCCTCCCTAAACAGTTTTCTGTATAGTTAATGAAAATCACTGTCTACCAGACGCTGCAGGTATGTTTCCTACGCATGGTATTAATAGTGGGGCAGTAGAAACAGGAGCAACATGAGTGGAGCTATTTTACCCCAAACCAATATAAATGTGCAATTAAAGTAGGAAACAAAATGGCCTCAGGTATTGAAAATAGATGCATTTCCTCCCTTGGGCTCTCCAGTGCAGTGCTGGGGAACAGTGCTTAACTATCTTTACAGACTTAATGGCTTTTGATTGACTCTGTAAGATAATTCCCACCAGCCCAGGAGGCCTGAATGACACTTTGGGGCCAAGGACAATGGGGCCATATTTGATGTGACAGAGAGAGAGAGAGAGAGAGAGGAGACAGACAGAGTGACGCAGACACAGACAGACACAAAGAGAATGAGAATGAGTGAATGAATTGTCCACATTTCTTTGAGACCTGCCAAAGCAAACTCCTTTCTTATCTTTGCACAATATATTCTTTATTATTGAAATAGCAGATACTTTCTATACTCTCTTTACTTAGGGTGTGCTTTCTTTACACATCTAAGGGGAAATGTGTACGACCTGGGAGTGCTTGCCGTGGACACAATCTTTTGTTTCCAAATTGAAAGCAGTAAGTCCTTTCAGTTGTTAAAGGTTGCAAACTGCCTTTGGTCTTTCTGGTAATTTGGCCCTGTCATCTAACAGTTCAAATAAGAAGAAAAAGGATTGTGTGTTTTCATGCAATTTAGCTTGGAAAACCCTGAGCTGGAGTTCTTTCCTGCAGAAGTACAATTTATTTGACATGAGTTACTGTGTTTGCACAGGCACAGCTATACCTCTTTGTAATGTACACTTTCAGTACTCTGAGCAAGCTAAGGGGTCCTCTTTCATTTGTTCTGCCTCATTTCATTTAGAAATAGGGGAACTCTTCTTCCTTGTGTTTTGACTCTGTTACCATCTGGAAGCTTGGAATTGAGAAGTAATCCCAACCCAGGAATGTGCCCCATAAAAGGGTGGGGAATTCAGTAACAGAAAATTAAGAACTCTAATATCACAAAACGCACACAAAGGCATATTCTGGCAACACCAACACCACCAGTCTGACCCATCTTGGCATTCAAGATTATGATGCCTCTTGGGAATCGCTGTTATCAAAGCAGCTAAACCACTTCTTTACTGCTCAATAAATACAAGAGTTCCCTTAACAATGCTCCATGGCTCTTATCTTCACCTCAGAGATGCTGAACTCTAATGAGTAGAATAATGTGCATTCTGATGTGTTATGGGAAAAGTCTCAACTCCAGTAAACTAATATTTTTCTTTTTAAAGAATATCATTTCAGGGACTGCATTGTGTGTGATTTCCTTTTTTTTAACAACTGGAATCTCTCTGTGGAGATAAAAGGTTAATGCTGAGGAAAAAAAAAGCGAA